GGATTTACAGCCTGATTATGGACTGTCACACTCATGAAACATGTCATTTGCCCTTTACTGACCCTGTTCCTATGAATGAATGTGCTCGGGCACGCAACCGGTCTGCTTCTCCCTGGCTGGTCCTGACACCACAAGCAGCTAAATAATCCAGAAATGCTTGCTCTGAATGGCTTGAGGGGACTCAGGATCCCGGCCTGATTGGACACAGTAAAGCAGCCAAATTTTGGCCAAGGAATTGCTTGTGCTTGGAGAAGGAACCAAGCAAGAGGAAGCAGGCTAAACACCTTGGTATATATGGCCTTGGTGTATATATACATGCACTGGTATATGTACTCAAATACAGTCACAGTCCTAGGTTTACAGCTTGGGGGCATGCCCTCATCCAGTTTACATATCCCTCTTCTTTACTTCCTTGAACCAATGTTTCCTCTTTGCTATGACTGTTAAAATATTATTCTGTCTTGGAACTCTCTGCTGGTTTTGTATTCCCTTGTGGTCTCTCTATTCTTCATCCAAGTCTGTGTGCTTTTAAAAAGATATGTTCTCTGTTCTGCTCTGATGATTATGTTACAACTCTTATCAGCCTCTGTCCTTTTGGAGGGCAGGGCATGTTGGCTTCTTAATCCTGTTATAAAATACAGCTGTTTTCAACCACCGACTTTCCTCTCTGCCTCAGTATGAAGCAGCAACAGTTTATTTTCCAATCACTAGTGCTAAAGTTATTTAAATATCCGAGTAGTGTTAAATGGCAAGCCAACAGCACTTTCAATATATTTAGTGGTATCCTCACTAAACTCACACCATTTGAAAACAATCAGCATGCCAGCTCAGCTGAGATAAGCAAGAAGATGTTCTTATCCTGTGCCACAGTGTTAGAAAGAAACAAACAAACAAAAACAACAAAACAAAACACTGCTGCTTCGCCTGACAAGGGGTAATACCTATTGACACCAATGTCAACTAGCTCCTGTCTGAATTCTGAGTTCTGACCAATAACTGTAGGGATGTCAAGCATTAAGAGCAACCTGTATTGATGTTTTGTATAATGGCAATTAAAGTGGGTTCCCAAGGCACTATCTGACAACTTCCCCAAGACTGTTCTCTTAAAGCAAACTTCATTAACACTTTCACATGTAAGCGCAGATATTGAAAGCAGAACATAATGACTTTTATTCTTTTAGTGTTGAGTTAAAGAGTTCTCTGTGCTGCTTGTTTCAATTTTAAAAAACGGCTGTGTGTGTTAGTGGACTGCAACTGCCCATCAGTTCTAGTTAGCACAATTAATGCCAACTGGGTTGCAGGCAAGGAACATCTGGAGGGCCACCCATTCCCCGTCCCACCCTGAAGGGCATGAGGGTCATGAAAATGCAGCACTGCAGAAAAGTCATTGCAAAGCAAAGCGAAGACTCTAGCAAGCCAGCCAAGGCAGAAGCAACAGGACATCTTATTATTTAGTGAAACCTGTGCCAGCAGGTTTCACTAGATAATAGTGTCTTCTGCAGCTTGGAAAGACCTATGCTTCCCATTAATTAAAATAAACTGAGGCATAATAGGCAGACCAATTCAGCCAAGTCCTCCAATTTACTATCGTAACGACAGAAAGCAGCTTATTAAACTGCAAGTGTGGAATTTTGCCTAGATGCACCTGGAACTCCAGGGCCAGAGAACTCTTAGAACTGGACCTCCCAGACAGCAATAGAAGAGATCACCTCTTCAGCAGCCCCCTCATGCTGCACAGCAGATGGGTGTGACAGTCACACAGAACTGAAGGGAGACCTTTCTCCTTTATGATCACAACATTATGGCACCGTACAACTACATGGGATCCCAAGAGTTATTGAGTCCATTATGGCACACCACTGCTTAAGAGTTCTTCCTGTTTAAAAGCCATGCACAGACACAACAATCAGACACTCTTTATGATCGATTTCTGCTCAAAGAGAAGGAGGGCAGTGAGAAACAGCCAAAGATGTGGATCCGAGAAACGTCATGAAGATCAAAGGTAAGCCTACCCTAAAGCATCAGCATCTCTTCAGGCCCTCTGGAAGAGTTCTGCATGCTTGACATGATCCATGGGGCTTGATCGTTGTGCATGTACCTTCCCTTTTGTATCCCTAATGCCTCTTAGAGACACAAGTCCAGAGAAGTAACAGCACAATTGCTTTTGGCAACAGTTTCACCTCAAATATTGTCAATAAACTGTCAAAGTAGCATACAATCTCTCTTACTTCACTTTTATGCACATACTGCAAGTAACTCTCAACAAGTGTCGTTCTTATTCAAAAATGAAGTTGAAGCTAAGACGTACACATGGTGCAGTCTTCCAAATGTATTCACATGCCCATCCCATCCTGTTTGTTAAATGAATACAAGTCTTTCTCTCCTTCATTAGGCCTTTGAGTGCCATAAAAAAAAGATTGTCAGAATCTCAAAAACTAACAAAGTTATTATACCCTGGGCTTACAAGGAGAATACAATGTATGCATGAAGCCATATCCAAAATTCAAGGAGAATAAGCCACTTCAATGTATGCATGAAGCCATATCCAAAATTTAAGACAGAAACAAGTTATATGAGGTAGGAGATAACAGGACTGTGAGATACGAGGAAAATTAAATACGGAAAGTACCGTGATAGTTGCATCATTAACATCATCCACTTTACGCAACTGTAGGTGGTAAGATAAATAGCCTGAGCAGCAGGTAAGCAAATTCACACATGCAGCGTGATAAGGAAACACAGCTCATTCATCTTCAGCAAGCACATCCTTGTTTCAGACATCTCTTGTAAATATAACATTACTGTAATACGCTCTAGATGGGGTTGCCTATGGAAAGTGTCAGAGGAGACTTCAGAGGGTCCAAAATGCAGCAATCTAGATGGGGCTGCCTATGGAAAGTGTCAGGAGACTTCAGAGGGTCCAAAATGCAGCACCAAGATTGTTGATGGGGTTGGTTACAGGGATCACACAACCCCCCTCTTATAGCGCCTCCACTGGTTGCTGATCCAGGCACAATTTAAAATGCTGGTTCTAACCCATAAAGCCCTAAATGGTTTGGGTACAAGCTATCTCAAAGACCACATCTCCCATTATGAGCCTGCTCGAGTGCAAATTTTAAACCGACTGTCAAGCCTTACTGCTTTAAATGTATTTTCAGTATTGCTTTTGTTTACCATTTCACAAGGTGGCATTTGTTTGATCCTTTTTAATATTTGTATACATACATTGTTTTTAACTTTAAATATTATCTTTTAATTATGTAAGCTACCTTGAGACCTTTTTTTAAGAAAGAAGGAGAGAGATAATATTTTAAATAAATAAATAAATTCCAGTTGAACAGTATAGCTAGTAGCAAAAATACCCTCTTGGCTTTCTTTGATCAGAAACATAGAAATATCTAGGTAAAAAGCAAACCAGATATTTATGTAAGTATTCACACACAAGAGAGCAGTGGCTTGGGTACACTTATAGTACAAAGTACATTAAAAGGGGAAAATTTATTTTATGTACAGTATTTATTTTATTTATTTCATTTGTACCCCGCCCATCTGATCCTAAGACCACTCTAGGCAGCTTCCAATACGACATTACAGCAAATAAAAAAAACCCCACAAAGATTATTACATAAAATATCTTCCAAAAATTACAAGACAGAAGATAGAGCAAAAATAAATAGGGAGGTGGTGGAAGATGGGAGGGCCTGGCGTGCTCTGGTCCATGGGGTCACAAAGAGTCAGGCACGACTTAATGACTAAACAACAAATAAGCAGCGGTAATAATGTGTCACATCTATACAAGCATTTTATATGTACTAAAAATATGGAAAGTGCCCAGAGCAAACTTGTTTATTGTGCGTGCTCATACACACTATAATTTCCTCCAACATGTTCCCAAGATAACAAATGTTTAGTGGTCACCATACAAACTGGCCAACCACGTGAGTCTACAAGTGTGTGAAGTACATTAGAGGGCCTTCCCTGGGTCTCATCATCATTAAGACCTTAGGCAGATGGGAAACGAGGAAAGAGATAACATACAGCCTGCAAGTTTCAGTCAAAAAGCCAAGGTTTCAACACTGCAATGCTATGATATGATTCTACGGGGACTTCATGGATTTCTACTTTCTTTGCTTTCATTTTATTGCTTTTGATTGCACCTCCCTCTTGAAAGGTGGGATGTTTTATAATAACAAAATAAATCAAAGTACTGTAGAAGATTGCCCTATAATGTCCACTTGCTACCAGAGGAAAAACAAAAAAAAAGAGTTGAGACATCTTAATGACCAATTGCTTTTGTGAAATAATGTACATGCACACACAACATACACAAAGGGACTAGCTCATTGATCAAAAAGGTCCATAGAACTACTCTGATGCTTCCCATTTTTCTAGGTCCACTCAACAAGACCATGTCAAAATGTATCTATGCAGTTTGCCCAGTTTACACAGTTTGGGCTACTTCTGTGATGAGCCCAACCATCCTTCTTAGCAAATGCAAACTCTTCAGACTGACAGAAAATCTCCCCATCTTGTAAAAAAGGAGGATTTTCTTTTTAAGTTTTATCAATACCATTTTAGGGTAAGACACAAGCAAGGTATTCCATTGCTGTACAAATATCTCAAAATAGAACAATCTTTTGTTGTATTGGACTCTTAAAATACTACTACTTGACTACCTGGATAACTCCAATAGTTTAGGTATTTGGCTGCAGAGTTTGATTCTCCATTCTGCCTCATGAGAGAAAAGCTAGCCTGTGTGGTTTTGGACAAGTTGCACAGTCCCGGGATGCCCCTAGAAGAAGGGAATGGTAAACCACTTCTGACGCTTTGGAAACTATTAGGGCTGATAACCCCCCCCGCCCCCCCCCCAAAAAAAAACACGCAGTTTGAAGGAATGCAGATTTCCAAAGGGCGAAGCAAATGTGATCCCTGCAGCGAGTGCAAATGTATGCAATAGGGAAAAAAGGAGAGAAAAAAGGGGGTGACTTTTTTGAACTTACTTTCACTCGGTGCCACCTCCCGCTCCGACCCATGGCTCCTGCCTTCATCCGAGGTCAGAATGAGGGGCACATCGTCCTCGTCCGGATTCACAGCCATGCTCTCCCCCCTCTCCCCTTCCCCGGTCCTGCGCTGCTCCAGGCAATGTCCTCCCCCCTTTTTAAAGCCGCCCCCCAACTTCTCGCCGCCGCTTCGTCAAAG